TTCATTAACATCTATTGTAAAATGTTTCATGTACTTACTTGCTTCTGAAGACATGTGTATTGTTGATTATAAAATAGTGATTATTGTTGTTCTCTTAAGTGTTGTTCTATTTGTCCATTTATATGCTTTCATTAACTGCATTATATGTGAATGTATGCTAATGTGTAACTGGTTGCAAATGGCTGAAATTTGCTTATCTCACTTATTATATGCAATACATTAACATCTCTCTTCTTTCTTTTTGATGTTGTCAAAGGGGGAGAAGAATATCAAGCAGAAATATGACTTGTAAGACTTATTAAACATGTAGATTGTATAAAGACAAAGGCATCAAGTAAGGGGGAGGATGATACAATGCATCGTACACCAAGTTTCTACCGTTTTGCCATCATCAAAAAAAGGGGAGTATGTGAGGGCAATCCTCATAGGTAGCTACACTTATTTTAATGATGTCAAAACTTAGATAGGGAGAAAAATGTACTTTGGACGGTATCATTATGTCACATATGCATACCTTATTCATCTTGAGTCAAACATTACATATAGAAAGTGTTCAATGTATGCTTCATATAGGTTTGGTCAAGAGTGTCTAGCTTACTGTGTGATAAAGTACCTCAAAAGTTGCATGATACATGAAAATATGCATTTTTGCGTATTTTAGGTCTTTGAGTCGACTTAAACATGTTTCGGTCGACTCATATAGAAAGTATTTTGAATGGTCTACTCTCAAGAGTGCTTGCGTCGACCCTCCTATCGACTCATATTGTGTCCATTTTTATTTGTCAAAATCTGCATGCTTTGCGTCGATGCATGACCTGCTCCGGTCGACGCTTCTGTTTTTTGCACAATATGAAATTCGAGTACGCTCAGGTCGATCCCCCTTTCTGCATAGCTCGACCGCTCGCATGTTTTCTGTCAAAATTATGTTATGAGAAACTGTCTTTGTGGTTGTTATAGGTTAATTGTTTTTCACTTGTATATATAGTGAGTTTTGATCTTTCATCCAAATACACATGAAAAACAAGAAAAGTGAAAATAGATACTGATTATTCTCATCATCTTCATCCTCTTCCTTGTATTTTCTCAATAACCACACATAATTATTTTTGTTGTGCATTCTGCTTGTTAGAGGTGATAACGTCCAAACATTGGATTGGTGTAATCGGGTTTGGGTTGAGAAATTAGTAGGTTTTTCTTGAATAAAACTGTTAGGGTTTTGTCCTCCAAGAATCTTGGATTTTGGGGGGGGGGGGGTTGCACGAATTGGTCCATCACAGATTCAACCGAGTGAAGGTAATCAAAGAACGAGTTGTTCTGTCGGTTTAGTAGCGGTAACCGAAGGATTGTGAGAGGAAGACTCGGGTTTGAAGTGTTGGTGATTGAAATCAGTCGAGCAATATTTGAAGACTGTGGGATTGTTCAAAGGGTGTGTTGTAATCGGAGGTTTATTCATCGTGTTCGAAGGACTTGATTCAGCTTGAATCAAGGGAAGAGAAGGAATAGACCCTGCATCAAGAATTGTGTTTGATTGTTTGATTTCTATTTGCTTCTCTTGTAAATATTTACCAACAGGTTATATCTATATACAGGTCTCAATTCTTTTTTTAGAATTGAGGACAGACGTACCCCGAGCGAGGACGACGAGGGAACTGCCTCAACAAATTTGTGTTCTCTCTTTACTTTTCAATTGCTTAAATTCTGAGTTTGTGTGCAAACAATTGTGTTAATCAAAATTCTGATGTGATTAGTGTTGAATCATTTTTGAAGCCTATTACAATCCTTGATTGTAATTGAACACTTGAGCACTTCACTCTCATATTGGAATTCACTTGTGGTGCCGTGCACACCAAGTGTTTGACCAATTGTGTGAACAACAAACAATTGTGCTATCTTTTCAATTTGACTATATTTTTCAAGCATTGGAAATAGTTAAACCTTATAGTGAATAAATTCTGGTTAATGTGTGTTCAAATTAGTGATTCTTAAATCTCGTTTTTATCGGATTCCATAGGCTTTGCGCATATTCGGTTTTTTCGGTAAAGGTTCATTTTAGACGAATATAGTTCCTTAGTTGCTTCTACTTAAAAATATTTTAGAACCAAATATTGGTAGCGCCGACTCTATTTTTAACAAGTGATCTATTCAACCCCCCCTTCTAGATCTGCGCCATCTTCTAACAATCAACACATTGCTCGAACACATTGCAGATGCCAAAGACCTAATTCCTATTCAGCTAGAACATTGTCCACGGATAGAAATCTTTTATTTTGAACCTAAAGATATAAGAGATTTTCTCTTTGGAAATGTGTGGTTGGATGCAGGGATATTGCAAGTTTGATGCACATAAGTATAGAATATATTGAATATCTCATTATGGTACATTTATAGTTTTTGTATTTCCTCACTCATTTTTTGAATTTTGTTTAACCCTTTTGGTACCTTCACTGTGTTTGTATAGAAATAAATAAATCAAATATTTATGGCATCTTGAATCCATATAGTATACGATGGATAAATAAAGATCCAAAAAAGATTGAAGATTACATATCATCACAAATAAGTGATGACTGGGAAAATAATGTTACTTAACACCATTTATCAATTCGTGAGTAATTTTGAAATTATTATTTATCTATTATAGTTAGTTCGATGTTTTAGCAAATACTAATTATATATGTTCATTTTTATTCAGTGATCATTGGCAGTTGATTATCATATCTCTTAGGATGAATGTGGTAGCCACACTGTGTTCCTTATATTACCCACTTGAACGTAACATGAAACTTAATATTTTTATGTAAGTTTATGTTTATGAGATTTTTAGTAATATTTTGTTTGACTTGTAGTTAGTTTAATGTGTGATATGTTTCAATATACAGGGTTGTGCAGCGACATTATTACTTGAAGAATATTAGAAAAAGTCTTCATTTATCTCGCTTAAGGTATGTGGATTACTTGTGACATTCATTTATATATATAGTTAAACGCATGTGTGGTTATTATATATATATATATATATATATATATATATATATATATATATATATATATATATATGAAATGCTTAAAGTTGTAGGTGAGGAGATAACTAAAGGGATACGAGTGTGAATATTATGTCATGAAACACATGTTAAACATTATTTTTGTCGGGCATTGTAGATTCTTGGGAGCATATATATATATATATATATATATATATATATATATATATATATATATATATATATATATATATATATATATATATATATATATATATATATATATATATATATATATATATATATATATATATATATATATATATATTTCATGAAATGTTTACAATAACATATTAATGTTTAAGTTTGCTATTACTTCATATCATGTGATATTCAATTTTCTTCACTTTTTTATGTAAACGTTTACCCACACTACAACATTCCCCACCAACGACTATAAAGACCTCCATAAACATCGGGGGTTTTGCTTTCTCTTGAAAAAAAAGGTGATCAAACATGATTTTGTAATATATGTTTGATATATTTTTGAGATTGATATAAATAATATTTAAGTTTATAATATATATATATATATATATATATATATATATATATATATATATATATATATATATATATATATATATATATATATATATATAAAATACATGTACAAAAAATAAAAGGTATATATAAAATAATATTTAAAAAATAAATAAATAAATTATTTAACAACGGGCAGAAAACCGTGGTGATAGATAACGCGACAAATATAATATATCATACAAATGATAGAAATTAAATCTATGAACTTTTACTATTTAACAACTGTTCATTGTAATAAATGTGGTGATAAATAACACGCTAACTAATATATTACAACGAATACAAGCCAGCGATAAATAAATAACAAACTTACAACCACACATTACTTCACCACAATTGATCACGCGTGATAGTATAAGTTTTGCAAATGTCACAATTAATGTCTAAAATTTGAAAAATTTATATCAACACTCGCAAAACCGAAAAAAAAAAAAAATCAGATAGATAAAGATAAAAACAATAGAGTGCGAATATAATATATTTGTAAAATTGGCATCTTTAACGAATCCTATATGTTTTGCCACCCTTACTCCCTAGTTGTAACCTCATGATGGCGCCGTGGCGTTACAATGCAGTTAGAAGTGTGAATATTATGGCCTCATGTTGTTGTGAATATTTACCATAGCTAAGTATTGCGGCAACATTTCTTCACCAATTTGAAACCATGACTACAACACCAATTTAAAACAAAACAAAAGAAAAAATGATAAAATGATAAACTAGTTAGGAATTATATCAGAGGAGTTAAAAATAAGTGGTCTAGGGGTAATAATTAATACTAGAACAAAGGTGGTGAAAATGTATGTAATGATCTGTTTGTATTTGGTCTGAAAAAGGAAAAGACAGCACTTTGGGCGAAACCCCAAAAACAGCAACACATAATATCATTACATCAAGTGGTCCTCTCCACTTAATTTTTACCCTCTCTCACTGACACTACCAATCCATCAAAGTGTTACCAGTGCTAGTCCAACCTCAGTAGTATCACTGATCACTGAGTCCCTCGAAACAGATTAAATTAACTCCCCCTCTCTTTTTCTCTGTGCAATATCTATTGCAAGTTAGCAAATGCAAAGTTTGTCAACAGTACAATCTGTGACTGCCCTTGTCTGCATGTCTCTCTCTCATCTGCAGTCACTCAATACTCTTGACTACCGTCCTTACCTTCGTCATTCACACTCTCACTATCACAAGATAAATAACTATCATAACACTGCCACTTCTTGCAATAAATGCAAAAACCTTAGCTTTCATTTCACTGTTTGTCTCCATCTTCTCACACTCACTCACACAACAGACAAAACTACACTACAATCTATAATAACAATAATATATTCTACTCCATTAATCATAAATACTTACCACACCAAAAACTAAAGCTAAATTAAAACCATGCTATTAGTATTATACTAGTTAATTAAAACAAAATATCATTCCATCCATGTTATCAATATCATCATCATCTTCATCATTTTCATCTCCTTCGAATTCGTCATCATATTCATCACCTAACAAAACTTCTTGATCTTCACAACTCTCCACGGTGTGTGGAGCGTGACCATCCCCGAAAGCGCGAACATGATCTTTGAGTGATCTCTTGTGTTTGAAATCAGATCCACAGATGCAGAACCAAAGTTTTCCACAGTTTTTCTCGTGTGTTCTCCAGTCCCCTCTCACTGCAAAGGGTTTCCCACACTTTCTACAGCCAAATGGCTTAGCTCCATGTTTCCTCTTGTAGTGTGTCTGAAGTGTCCTGAAATCCTTCAGTGGTCTTGACCTTGGATGCTCTATGTTATTTTTGCATCCCTCTGCACAGCAATAGCATGGAAGCCTTAACATGGATGAAGCTGGTTTTACTCCCCTTAGAGATTCTGGTCCTTTCCTATATTGAGACCCATGTCCCCACATATGCATCTAATATACATAGATGAAAAAATGCATTAAGATATACAAATAGTTAAGTCAAGTATAAAGAGTCTTAAGAGGTTAGTGCATGTTGTCTTGTTTAACCACTAATATTTTCTTTAAAAAATAGGAACAGTTTCAAGATGGTAGGTAATTAATGAATGGCTTAAATTTAAAATTTATAAATATTTGACAAAAAGGTATTTAGAACAAAATTTAGTGTTGATTCTTGTAATAAATGCTTATGAATGTGTTCTGGTCTACTAGCTATAGGCAATAGGGTTTGAACTGTACAGTTTGTTGACTAACCTGCATGTTGTTGAAACGGTTGAACATTTTATTGCATACTGTGCAAGAGAACTGTGTTGGTCCAATGAGGATTTGAGCAGGAGAAGGGATCCAATATTGACCTTGAGTAGGAGGTGAAGGCAAATGATGATGATGATGATGATCTGGTTTGGTAATAGTTGTGTTGTTTTGTGATATGGCTGTTGGAAGGCCAATGTGAAGTGCAACAGTTACACCACTCTGGTCATCATCAATGGTAAGGTTTTGGTTTTGGTGATGATTATGATGAAGAGTAGAAGAAGGTGATTGATTTGTTGGGGAGAATAGTTTGGGTTTGTGGTGAGTACCAGGAGGGCCAAGTGAGAGTGAAATGGAGGACTCGTCAACAGTGTCACATGTGTAGGAGAATGTGTGAGGTTGCATGGTGAGAAATATGGTTGATGGGATGGTGTATAATATATTATATGAATGAATAGTTGGTAATAGGAGAGAGTAGAGTGAGAGGGACAGAGAGAGTGTTTTGAGTGAGCTTGTTTTTGTGCGATGCTAAGTGGGGACGAGAAAGCCAATATATAAGTAAACAAATCTTGTTCATTCATCCATGTATTCTGGCTTTTGTCATTCTATGTGTCATGTCAGGTTAATTCAAAAACAAGATTAATTCTTGAAGAATTCTTAGGCTATATAACTAAAAGAAACACTATTTTCATATTGACGACATGTATGTAAGGTCTAAAAATAATTTATTTGAAGATTAAAAAGAGAATTTAATCCCCTGCAGTCGCCTATCTCTATCTCATTTTTAATTTATTTTTTAAGCAAAATAAATCAAAGGCTACAATGCATTGATCAACACATCTAATGGCGGATAGATACATGACTATAATGACGGTCGGGAGTTAATTAAAGTGATCATGGTCCACTAAATAAATTGGTCCTTCGAGATCTCTAACTTTATATGTCAGATTAGAAAAATTTTGTTGTATTATATGAAGTTAAAGTATGGTATAAAACGCAGCGGAAATTAAATTTTCTCTTAATATAATTTTTACGATTGATGTATGGTTAGTGATAGAAATAATTATCTTTTGTGGCAATTAATACTTTTGATGCAGAATTGGAAGAACGATCACAAACGTTGAACAAAGAAAAACATTTTACCCAGTCTACACGAATCGAGTACCTTCAATCTTAGTGTTAGCTGCTACAAATGAAGACTTTGAGAGACAGAGAGAATACTGTTAGGGTTAAAAATTGAATTTCATTCAATTTAAAATGTTCTGCACAAGAGTTCTATTTATAGAAGCGCTTATGTGGGAGTGCATCGTACCTTACGATGTACTATATTTCATTTAAGTGGACAATACCTTACGATATTCTGTATTACATTTAAGTGCATTTACCATACAATATTCTACAATTAACTTATGCGCAACGTGCCTTATACTGTTCCGAATTCCGTTTAGTGCATCATACCTTATGGTGTTCTACAATTCTCTTAAGCGCATTGTGTCTTACCGTGTTCCATAATTCTCTTAAGTACATCATATCTTACGATTTTCTGCATTTTACTTATTTATTTTATCTCACATAAATCTGTCTTTATGTGTGTGACCTTGTAGGTTCTCCTGACGTTGACAATTATACTAAATAACACATTTAATATAATTAATAATGAGTGATATTTAGAAACATATCACAACTATCTAAGTCACGAAAATGTCATGTGATCTGACAAAACCTTTTCTGTGATAAAACTTGTGTGTTCAATTATCCTTTCGTCCTCATGTCTATATTGAACACAAGTCATAGACCGTGTCACCCATATCTAGTTCAATATTAGGTCATTAGACATATATCATGTTACGCAGGATGAGAAAATTCCATCTAGGTCACTCATGTCCCTCAATATGATTTGTGGAGTACCCACCAACCATCTTGATGATCTTCTTATTACGAACAACGTTTGATTGATAATGAAATACTCGAACTAACATCTAGGGTACATAGTGATTTCAGGTCTAAAGTGTGACATTCACTGTTAGACGATAGCCTTCGATCTAGAGGGGGGGGGGTGAATATATCATACATTTTACAACTAAAAACATTTGACAAAAATCTGTTTTTAAAATATGGTGCAGCGAAAAAACGACCCGGATCGAATCGTCTAACCAAACCTACTATTGAAAAATAATATATGTATAACAAACCAAACGGAGTAATAACGAACATAAATGTTCAAGCTACGAATCAATTAAATGCAATGTTAATCGTAACTCGTATATCCAATGAACCAAAACACAAACAAAATACACACAAACAATTTATCGAACACTTGATGTGCAATCGGTAACAATTGGAAATATAGTTTATTTTGTTGATGTTAAAACCTATCACAATCAAAGTGATTGTAACTATATCAACAACAACACCTTTAAAAGATAGTAGAAAACAATTTCCAATCGAATTAATCAAACAACGGTGAACTCGATAAATTGCGTAATCAACAATAAAAGAGATAAAGAGATAGATAGATAGATAGATAGATAGATAGAGGGAGAGAGAGAGAGAGATATACCAATATTTGTTTAGGCAGTTCCTCAATCGGCCTCGCTATGGGTACATCTGCCCTTAATTCAAAATCGAATTGATATAGTGTTATTAACCTTTTTTTTGTAAAATCGTTTATACAAGAGATGAAGAACGCAAACTCCAAAAACCTATTGTTTTGTGCTGATTCTTCCACCTCCAAACCCTTTATCAAAGCTTGATCAAGTGACCAACAACGTGGCTACCATTTTCTGATTATCTTGAGCACGCAACTTGTTGAAAACCAAGATTCCCGAACACAATTCACCGTCTTATGCTACTCCTTTGCAAGGAAACCACCGTGTCCAAAGTCTTTCACTCGGTCAAATTTGTGGTGACGTGATCTTGCCAAAAACCTTCAAATCAAACCGACTTTGAAGGAAAACCCCACCTTGGTTTTCTTATTCGAAACACACAAAGCCCCAAACCGAATATTCTCGGTTACACCAAACCTAGTTGAACGTTATCAACCTAATCTAGATGGTCACCCAATTGAAAAATGATTATGTGTAGTTCAGTTGTCTATATGCATAGAAGAAAGGATGAAGATGATGGGCAACTTTATAATCTGGTTTTGTTTAGGTTGTATTCACTAGGAAACATTTTCCTAGAAGAAGATGCCTGTATGGGTATATATAGGTATGTGAAGAAAATGGGCAAAAGGATGAAAAAAGAATTTTCAAGTTTTAACTTGCATAGGTCGGCCTATAAAGGTGTTCAGGCCGGCCTGTGAGATGACCTGTGGGCAGAATCTACAGGCTTCGTTCTTAAAGCGTGGGAGTGTCGCACCTCGAAAAATCTCGCAGAGATAATTCAGAAACACGACCCTCGCGTAAAAGGCGCGGAATGCGGTTCGACAGAGTCGCCATTGAACTTTATTTATCCCGAAGAGACGGGAAAGGAAAATATTGAAAAAACCTTTTAAGACGAAAGGACAGGAACACGGTCGTCGCAACCAATGTTCCGGGTTTGAGATTCGGTTACGCAAGAGGAAGGTATTAACACCCATCACGTCCGTTGTACTCAACGGGAACCTCTTAGGGTGGTTTGCGATGGACGTTATCTAAGTTTGTTTGTTTTCTTCTCAATGACCAATGCAAATTGGTAGGATAAAAGGATAAAGTCGCTAAGCAAAAATGGGTGGTTAGAGGATAGGGTGCTCACTAAGGATTAGGGCCCTTATGCCTACGTATGCTCATTCGGACGAGAATGAGAAATCAAAGCGTCGTAGTTCGACTACGGGAAAAAGATAGGGGGAAACAGAAGATGGATAAAAGATAGCTCGCCAAGATCATCACAATCTTGTGCCTACGTATATTACACTCAAAGAAGAGAATGAAGAATTAGAGCGCCCGTAGTTCGCGGAGATGACCACGAAAAGATGAAGGGTTGAATTGAGTTGAAGTTTGGTTTGAGATGAAATACTGAATGACAAACAACTCAAGGGGCGTGCCTCGGGAGCTGTCACTCAAGAATCCAAGGAATGCGAGATTCCAAGAACTCAGTTCTTTCAGGAGTTGATTAGAACAATTTCGAGAAAAGGGTGAATGTTTTGAATTCGAAAGAGTGAATGAACAATAACTCAAGGGGTGTGCCTCGAGAGCTACTTATTCGAAGATTTAAGGAATGCTAGATTCTAAGAATATCCTTCTTTCATAAGTTTGATTAAGAAAGTGTTTGAATAAAAATTAGGTATTTTAAGACGAGAGAATGAATGAACGACAACCCCAAGCGTGCGCCTCAAGAGTCATTCATTCGAAGATTCAAGGAATACTAGACACCACAACGTTTATCGACATTTGGAAACACCTGAGACTTTGTTTCTTCAATATTTGATCGCTATTGGAGAAACTGTCGATATTTCCTTTTATGTTTTTAATTTGAAAGAAATTGCCATCTTTGTTTTGAAAGCAAAAGTAAGTTCTTTTTTTTTTTTGTTTCAAAACTGAACATCAAAAATAAAAATGTCATTTTGTAAGGTAGAACAAAAAACGAGAATTGCAAACAAATAAGTGAAGGCTCAAACTTCATTGGTAGAATGGTAATCATCCAAATGCTTGATTCCATATAACATTACAAAGTTAGAAAATGGTAACTAAAAGGGAAAAGGCTACATCAAAACGTAATGACCATTATCCTTCTACCAACTTTGAATTCTGAATATTCTTGGGCTTCTGTTAAGAGTGACTTTGATAGATGTATCTTTGATAAATGATGTTGCTTCTGAGAATCCAATTTTGTCGGATGCAGTTACTTGCCATAAATCCCTAACTTTTGTTTAGAATTTTTTTTTCAATCTACCGGGATGATTTTTTTTTTGTTTTTTTTCTCTTTTTTGTTTTGTTTTTAGGAAAAGTATTTCTTGACTACATCAACACTTGTGGGATAAGTAAACTCTTCTTCATCCATGGTTGTGAGTATCAATGCACCACCTGAGAAGGCTTTCTTAACAACATATATGCCATCATAATTCGGAGTCCATTTGCCCCTAGAATCAGTGAGAAATGATTGTATCTTTTTGAGCACGAGGTCTTCCTCTCTGAAGACACGAGGTCAGACCTTTTTGTCGAATGCTTTCTTCATTCTTTGCTGATATAACTGACCATGGCATAAAGTTGTCATTCTCTTTTCTTTGATCAGATTCAATTCATCGTATCTGTTTTGACACCATTCAGCTTCTGTTAGCTTTGCTTCCATTAGTACTCTTATTGGCGGGATTTCAACCTTTATAGGGAGCACTGCTTCCATGCCATACACTAGAGAGAAAGGGGTTTCCCTTGTTGAAGTGCAGATGGATGTGTGATAACCGTGGAGAGCAAAAGGGAGCATCTCGT